ACGCTCACTCACCTTTTGGTTGCAAATTAGCTGTTGTCATAAATTAAAAAAATAATAATAGTGCTGCACCCTGTTGGCAATCCTTGTAACTTTAAAGCTATTGAACATCATAGAACAGAACCAACTTGTTTAATTGAAACAGCTGATAAGATTCATTAATTCCTTTTAAATATGAAAAATCATAAGGTTAACATGGGAAACTCCAGAGCCACTGGGGCGGAGCCGGAGAGTCCGATCAGAATAAAAACAACTTAGTTTTCTTGTTTAATGCCTAAAGAATCGGTGTACCAAATTTCAGCCTCCTAGGTAAATGGGAAGTGGGAGAATTAGTGATGAGTGAGTGAGTGAGTGTGTCAGTGAGGGCTTTGCCTTTTATATATTTAGATGGTTGAATTTCCATATAAAGGAAATACATCGCTATTTTTATAGAAATTGATATGTGATTTCATTTTAAATATTTTCTCTGCAAAAATTAATTTCATACTCTATATTAGCACTCATATTGTTTTAAAAATTCACAATATATATGTATATTTTTTATCCATAAGACATTTGACATTTTATTAAGTGCCTAAATTGCATAGTGATCCAGTAGATGAATCTTTTACCCATTTCAGTAGTCCAGAAATGTGCTCTTTGACGTCCAGAAAACGCATGTGATTATGATGACGTAGAGGTATTTTTTTTTTAGAAAATGAATAGATTTTGCTTTACTGTTTTTAGCTAGAAACATGGTTTTGGCTTCCTTAAAATGATAATTTATATCTGACATGCAAAATAAAACTGCATGCAACATGTTCAATGCACATAGAGTTTTAACTTCTTAATTTCTGAGTGGCATATTTAAATGTTACAAATAGGCCTATCAGTTTAAGCAAATATTTTGTTAGTATTAACTTTCTGTTGTTACTAAATAGTTATCGCTATACATATTTTATAGCAGTTTTCGGTGGAACTAATGTTACATTTTATAAAAATATATCAACTGGCTTTGCCAAGAATTTATATTTTAATAAAAAAAATGCCATGACCTGTCTATTTAAGGGCTGTCTATTTAGCTTTAAAATAAACGGATAAAACTACATTGCAAAAAACGCTTCTGCTGTTGGGAATTTACTGAAAATTTTTTATAGTTTTGTTTCAGCTACATCACCCAAAATGATTACATTAATGTAATCATTCTTATAAAATGTGTTTAAAAAAGTCTTTTCAAGAGGTTCAACTATTTCAATTTATTATCAAACGATTCAATTTTTTCTACTAATTGTAAATTTAACTGTATGACATTTGATAAAAGTAAATAATAAATACTGTACTATATTTGTGCTTAGAATTGTTTATACAATGAAAAAGTTTCTAAAAAGTTTCACTGAAGGATTATATCATGAATGTTTCTCATCAAACTTTTTAACACCTACAAAGAATGTTGGTTTGATATTTTTTCAATCCTTTTTTAATGAAATTGTTAATGTTAAATTTTAACCCCCCTCAGCATGATTAAATATTAACTTTATTAAAAAATTTAGTGCAATATTTAAACGCAAATAATTTTAAATTTATTTCCGTTTAAATATTGCACTTTAACTACAAGGGTTGAGTTATATAAAATTATTCTTTTTCGTCATACTGCAGCAAAAGCAGCCGTTTTTAATGCATGCGTTGTGGGTTTTTTACTCTCTAGGGAGTAAAAATCAGCTGTTGTAAATTTTGATTGTGGCAATCGTATCGATCAAAATTATTTATCGATTGATTTATTAGGTAAGGTTTTATCCTATTGTTGTCGATTGCTCGACATATCGATGGTATATTAACACAATCGTAATAGACGAAATAATTGAATCACTTACTATACAGCTGATTATTTAAATCAGCAGAATTGAAAACAAGCTGGACGTCGTTTTGAGAGGTTATCTTCACATAAAAATTACTGTATTTCGTTTTCTAGCTTTGTTTTTGTTAATAATTAATGATGCAATATGGCGGAAAATATAGTTCACCACACGGGCAAAAAGTGACTTTTTAACCATCGCTCGTTTTCCGACCTCATAAAAAAACTAAAAAAAAGTTTTTTAAAAATTTGACCTCTGGCCAAAAAGAGTCCCTTTAGCTCCTAACTATGAAATATTGCTATAGCACGCTTGCATTTTTGTTCTGTGATTTTATCTAGTTATAATTAGCTGTATTAAGATATATTTATTCCTGTTATTTCTTAAGCTTACGTAGGTTAGTGTAGAAATTGAACTTATACTATTGTCATGATTTTTTAATTTTAAATGTTATTTACAGGGTATACAATTATCGGAACAGATAATAAATTTCACCAGGATGAAATTTCATGTAAATGAAATAACTTCTATATTTGTAAATGTTTAATCGTAAAAAGTGTTACCTTAATTATTGATAAGAACAATTTTATGATAAACTTACAAAACACAGATATTGCTACAGATTTTTTTTAGCTATAACTTTTCTTTTTTACCACAGTTAAGTTAGTTGATGATTGCTGAGGATCTTAGATGATATGACCCTCGATAACAAGCCACCCTTGATAACAAGTGTCACTTTAAAATCCCCTACAATTTATTTTACCCTAATCGGCCTAATCACAAACCTCGACAAGAAGTCGACCTTGATATGAAGTCTTTAATAATCCCTATGGAGAGTCTTGTTATCTAGGTTTTACTGTACTTATTAGGCTATACTGATGATTTTTTCACACCCATTTCCCAAACTAGTTATGATTTTACATCTAATGAAGTTTAAAACCATACAATTTTGTGTAAATCTGAAAACATTGTATATAATAGAATTTTAATCCACCTGTGTTTATAAAGTAGCATGCATTAACGAAATGTCCTATACTAAGTATATTTATATATAAAGAGCATACACAATCATATTCTCTTACAAATCTAGGTATTTTAGGCCTGGTAATGCGTATGACTTTGTCCTCTAAGGCCCGTGGTTCAAATCCCACCATTCTCCGGTGGTTTCTGATATTGCAAGCCTGTTTGTGAAGACTATTGAAGCTGTATGTCCTTTTGTAAATCATATATTAGAGGTTTATTTAACGTCATACATTTTATATCATATATTTCATACATATCATATATACATCAAGTGAGCTGTCATTTAAATAAAGATTCCACTCACAGATAGGTAAGGTACAGAGGAAACTTGGTTATAGGATGACAGTGCACTTTCAGCTCTATTTTTTGTGCCGGAAATATACTTGTTACGAACAAGGAAGAGCCTGACACCGAGCACTGTGCAGAAATTCCTATCGCACAGAGCTCAGGGTCTTCCTCCACTGTGAGCGTTGTATTACATGAGGGTGAGGGGGAGGGGTTAGACTCTGCCCTAGACACCAGCACTAGTGCTAGACACCACTTTAGTGTACCATTGAATCTTTCCTCTGTACCTTACTTCTCCGTGTTCCACTATTTCTAATAACGTGGATTTAACGTCCTTTAATCACATCTGTTTGAATGTTGATGCCTAATTAATGTCGTGCCTGTAACCATAATGTAAGATATATTTTGTGATTCAATTTTATAAATGCATTGTTTCAAATAAAACTATGAACTACTAATATTGTTATTAATCTTGTGACCTTTTTTGGGTCTTGTTTATTACCAGTGTATAATAGACCTGTCTTAAGGTGAACCTAGAAAATGGATAAAGAAAGGAAGCAAAGATACAATGCTGGAATCCTCAGGATATAAAAAAAAAAAAAAAAAAAACGCTTTAGACAATATGTGTCAAAATGTTTTACGTGCAAAGTCTTTTATGAAGGTGTTATCAATTTTATAATGGCAGTAACTTAATGTTTTATGAAAAAATATGCATGGCTATAATTTATCTGTCTTTAAAAAAAAAAAGTAATTAAATTTAATTATGGAATAAACCAAAGCATGTATATTTGTAACACTGTAGTTAGTAAAATTACTAATCATATATTAATACAAACTAGTTATAATTTTTTTCATATTAGAACCAGCAAACTTAAAACTTATCTATTTCAATTTTAGCGTATTTCCCTTAAAGGGAAAAGTATTATTGTAGGTAATACCTAGATCCTGGAACAACTTTCCTTTTTTTTGAGGTCCCCAGAGGCCTAAAACACCACATGTTCAAATTCATATAAATATGTATGTCAGTTAGCACAATAATCTAAGGAAAAATAATTTGATTTTTACCAAATTTGGTCCAAACGAGTAAACCTACATTTATTTGAACGATTTCATTAACCAGAATGATCAGACTATGGGCATGGGGATGGGGTAAAAATTGGTTTTTCATATTTTTTATCCATAAATCCCCCTTGAAATTTATTTTCCATCTTAAATAATTGATTGAATTGAATTTCCAAAAATTGTATTGACCTTAAAAAACCAAATAATTTAGTACATTGAATGGTAGTTGTATCCAAATGCTTAGGAAGGGAATAAAAAAAACTTTAAATTTTAAATTCTCTTGTTATTCTTATTGAAATTAAGTAAATTTATTTTTTCCATACTATATTATAAAAATTTCACTTAAAAACACACCTCATACAATATACATTCCTTGGAAATTCTAAGGACTCATTTAATCTAATGTTGTTTAAATAGGGAATAAATCTGATAGTGTTGAGCAAATATTTTAGTGAAAATTTGATCAGTCACTTAGAAATTCTTTTAGTGTGCAGGTTTGCTACGGCAGGGAGTATTATGGTAATAATTACTGAACTGTAGCTCATTGTTCTAGTAGCCTTGATAATTTTTGTTTATTAAGAATGTAATCTATGACCCAATTTTAGTTTGAATGCAGATGATTGTGCCTACAAAATATTTATATTCAGTCCCATGTGGTGTTTTATTTCTTGTTCTAACCTAAAAATTTATTTTGACAAGTTGATTATTTTGGTGTGAATAGTTACAATGGGCAAGTTAAATTTAATCAATTACTAAGATGAAAAAACAAACTTAAATTTAAGTTTATATTTTAACACCCAACATATGGAAACGGCAATTTTTTCCTCGTTCTCTGCGGATTCTCCTAACAACTCAAGCATAGATTTTTCTGCAGATCGAAGACTAGCTATGTTCGGACCATTGGATATAAAAAACGATAAAGAGTTTCTAAAGAAGGCAGTCACCTATTACAAAAAAAGATCCTCGACTCCTTTCCCATATAGACTGAACCTGAACAACTTCGAGCCCCTCTACTTTCTCGGGCAGGGTGCCTTTGGAAAAGTTATTTTGGTGAAATACAAAGTATTCACTAAGTCATACTACGCAATGAAAATTGTAAATAAGAAAGCTCTCGTGGAAAAAAATATCATTGAATTTGCCTTGAATGAGAAGCGTATCTTACAGGGTCTCAACCATCCTTTCTGTATCCGCTTGGAATATTTCACATCTGACCCATCAAACTTATACTACCTCTTACCCTATATAGCAGGAGGTGATCTTTTCGGACTTCTTCAAAAGCAGAAGCGTTTCGACGAACGCTTATCCAGATTTTACATTGCCCAAATAGTTTTAGCTTTGGAATACTTACATTGTTGTCACACAATCCATAGAGATCTCAAACCCGAAAACATGATTTTGGATCACTTTGGATACATAAGAATTGCTGATTTCGGTTTCGCTAAAGAGCTAAAGGGGAAATTAAGGGCGTACACTTTTTGTGGGACTCCAGACTATATTGCCCCTGAAGTTATATTAGGTAATCCGTATTCCAATGCTGTTGATTGGTGGGCTCTCGGAGTAATGGCTTTTGAAATGGTCAGAGGAAGATCCCCATTTACTGATGAAGACCACTTGAAGACCTATAAGAGGATCGTCGCGGTGGATTATGGCATGCCGTCAGACTTTACCCCTGAACTAGCAGATCTTGTGTCTCGTTTCTTACAGAGTGATGTGACAAAGAGGTTGGGAAATCTGCGGCTCGGAATCGCAGAAATCAAAGAACACAAGTGGTTTGAGAAAATTGATTGGCTCAAACTCTTCAATAGAAGAGTGGTTCCTCCCTATATACCACCCGTCCAAGTAAATCTTGAGAAAGGAATATTTCCTCACTTGAAAAAAATCACCAAACCTTTTTCTATAGTAGAGGTTCCATCAAATGTCGATAAGCTGTTTGAAGACTTTTAATTGCTTAGTAAACTGCTAAACTATCTTAAAGTCTAATGATTTTGATTTCAAGAAGAGAAGTGCGAATCTACTTCTCTAAAATGTTTTTAAGTAAGAAGATTGTAAGGTCAGTACTTAGACTAAGTATTAAAATCTACTTTGTACCACAGTATTTACAATTAGTACAATTTGTGTAGGTTTAAGAATAAAATATGTTAATTTGTCCAACCTTTTCAGAATCCAACACCTTTCTTTATCTAGATTTCACATTTATGAATGTACCCTACATATAATGCTTTAAAACTTGTGTGGTTTATAGTCAATGGTTTTACTTATGTTATTCATTGTGACCCTTGGTTGGAATATATAATTGGTAAAATATAAGAATATCTTATCCAGCAACCACAGTTGCTGGTATGACAACTAGTTTCGTTCCTTAATTATAACATCGTCAGGTCATTGTATGCAACCACATCATCAATGTATTAATACATTGTGGTATGTCAAATGATCTTTTAGAACACTGCCAGAATCATAATAGTAAAAACTAGTCATGTTGATTAAATTATTAAATGAATAAAAAGTGATAAAACTGGATATCACTGTAAAGGCTGGCCAGCACTGTCACTGACTAATATAAATGATCAGACTTCCTTCCAGTCAAATATTATATTTGATACATATATTGACAAGCTACAAATCAAAGAAGTACCAAATAAGAAGAACATAACAAACTGAAATACAGGTTGTCCTGGAGAGATGAAGATGAAGACACTTCATGATTCAGTCAGTTTTATTTAGTCAGTGACAGTGATAAGACAGTGCTGGCCAGCCTTTACAGTTTTAACCAGTTTTATCACTTTTTATTCAATTTTAGTAATTTGATCAACATGACTAGTTTTTACTATAGTAATTCTAACAGTGTTCTAAAGAATCTTTTGACATACCACAATGTATTAAACATTGATGATGTGGTTGCATACAATGACCTGATGTTCTAAGGAACGAAACTAGTTGTCATACCAGCAACTGTGGCTGGATAAGGTAATTCTTCTATTTTATCGGTTTTACTTAGTGAAGCAAAATGATTGCAAGAAACCTTTTAACATTTTGATACATTTTGGAGGTAATGATTTGAGGGTTATTTCAATTTAGCTAATCAAATGGTCCTTACTTCTCTTTGCTGTAAAGACAATTAATGTCGGTAGTTACTTCAAACTTGTAACAATTTAAGCTTAAATTAAATTACTAAAACTTGTGTAGGTGGCTCTCACAAAAAGCTTACATTGCTTGAGATGAGACAAATATTTAAAGTAGACCAACTCACTTTTATGATGTGGGGATGCAAATAATAGCGATATGCCTGCATTTTTACAGACTAGATGATCAGATGTTTCCTTTCGTCTGGAATGAGCAAGTAGTCCAATGACCAAAATAGCTAATGGGGTTAAAAAAGCTACACACTTTTCTTACAATGAAACAGGCGACATTCACAGCATCAGACGAGAACTAATAAGTACATCAGTACTACTATTCAGCTACAAGCTATATAAAAAAAGAATGTTTAAACATCTAAAAAACACATTAAGTAGTTTTTTTTTTAGAAATCATTTAGTGTTGACTTATTATCAAGAAACCAATACACCACCGGCCACAAGCTTGGTTTCTATCTGAGATTCGCAAAACAATTCTTAACACAAATGTTTGAACAAAGCCAAAGCCAGACTTCAAAGCTGAAGTTTCTATGTAGAACAATGCAATGTCGGACTGAAGCATTCCATAACTCGGCCGGCGGAATTTTTAATCTTATCGCATGGATCTTAAATATGGGCACAATTGGCGAACTGTTATTAGAAAAGTTTTTTGTTTTGTGTATATTGCCAAAATTCCCAAATAATATTTTGAATTTTCCAAATAGGGAGTAAGACCTTAGGTATCAAGGTAGGTAAGACCTAGACTTGGGACCGATTTAAATTTTTGCTTTGAATCCTCCAGAGGCCAAAACTTCATTCAAATTTATATAAGTTAGTATTTGCAGGTATGTGTGTGTGAGATGGTTAGCACGATAACTCGAGTAAAGGTCATATGATTTTGAGGAAATTTGGTACAAACGAGTAAATTAAAAAATTTGGACTAAATTCAGCTTAAGCATGGACTAGGGACAAGGTTTTATGGGGTAAAAATGAGTGTTTCGTATTTTTTTCCATAAATCATAATATTTTGCAATATTTCCCCAAACAATTTTTTGGAGCCTAATAATAGGTACGGTATACAAATAACTGGTATATTGAAGTATATTTTGTGAGTATGGGCGCCTACAGAATTTAGATCAGGGGGGTTCAAAAGATAACAAAAATCCGTGGGGGGGCCTCTGGATATCTTTTGAAAATACGATTTTTTAAAATAAATTTTTGTCAGGACTAATGTAATGTACTTTTATCAATTATCAATTATTTAAGATGGGGACGCCACTATGTGCGTATTTTAACCCAATATGAGTGAAGGATGAGTGACGCGATCTTGTAGTCTTGCTAGTGACTAAGGCCGACATGTTCCTTAGACATAGCTGTTAATTAATAGCCCATACAGCTAATGGCAACTAAGGTACCTACAGTTTATTGTGGAATCCGAACCACATTTTTTCCTCGTAATTAACGAATTGGTCTAATTATTAGGATAGCACTGCGGATAGTCGTAGTACTCACTAGTGCGGACATTTAATCCCCACCAGGGAGCATTGCATCCACAGTGCATTCCCATTATTATCCACAATTCGTGATGTCTAATTAATAAATGTAATCAGAGATAATACTATCTATCACATTTGTTTCCTAATTTGTTCAGCCAGGGGGTTTGCAAGTGCACCCCCTTGCACCCTCCTGTGGGCATGTATTGTGAGCTAAAAAGTTGGGGAGAAAATTAAAAAAAAACTTATTCTCATGGAGAAAAAGTATACTGTTTCCCTATACGGTAATTATGGATATATTTTTATTAGGTTTGGTAAATTTATTTATTTTATACTAAGCTCATTTAACAAACAAAAAAAGAAAAATACTTTACCTGTAGCAGCCAACCTAAGGGTTTTTTACACCTTAAAACTAGTTATTTAAATAGGAAATAAGTCTGACAAGCTAAGGAAAATAATTGGGCAAATGGAAATTCGAGTCTGCAGGCTTGCTGTGGCGGGTGGATTCATTTGCTTGCTTTATTAGTTATATATTCTACAAGTGTCAAGCAACCGTTTATTAGTAATTCAAAACTAAATTGATTTTAGACTTGGTGAAACAGCCTCAATTAAAACGACAAAACGCATTTCGAATATGCTCGACATAATATAGGCTAGTTAAATAAAATTATCTTCAGAAAAGGAAAATAAATCTAAACCTTCTAATCTAACCTTATCTTTCTTTTGAAAGCGAAACGTTACGGCGCAAAGACATTCACCCAGCTGATCAGCAATCAGCTGATATGATGTCACATCAAAACGCGCTGCGCCTATTGGCCGCGTTCAACAATGCACAGCGTCCAATCATACAGCGCGGTTTATTTTCAAGTCGGGGTTTGTAAAAACAGTTTCGTGTGCTTGAGTGTTTTGGTGAAAGTGTTAGCCTAATCAAATTAATTCAGTGTTGTGTTAGGTAATTGTCAACCTATATCATTATTCAAGGTGAGTTAAATATAATATAAGAGAATTATGTGTAGTCTTTATACACTCATGTTTCATTAAAATCTAGGTTAAAATAAGCAGCACTGCTTCATTGTCAATGTAATGGAATATTAAGCTGACCCTATACAAAATTATCTGAACATTAACTAACTAAATGCTATTATTTTAGCTCTTTGAACTTCTTGTTTGTAATGTTTATAATATAAATATCTCATTAATTTTGAGAATCCTCTAATGTAGCAAAATGTTAAATTACGTTTATTTTATTGCATTATTTAAAGTAGCCGTTATATTTTATTATGTTTTGAAATTTTGATGTTTCCAATATCTATATTTATTTTCAAAGGCAACAAATCAATCAAAACTGTATGTAAACTATCTACATTTGTTTTTTGGTCTGATGGGTCGGAAGTTTATTACAGCTATGTAAATGTAATAAATTTACCTATTGTACTGTAAACTTTAGAATAACTATACCACACAATGATATAATCGTCAAAAGCCATTAATTAAAATTAAAATAAAATAAAACTAGCATTACGGTCCGATCAAAATTGGATCTGTATTAGCTGGTATCTCTTAAGTTTTATATGTTTTGTACAGATTTAAAGGGATACAAAACTTACCACAAATCAATTTTACTCTATCTCTCTGTCAGTCTTTTAGAGAATTTCACCTATGCTCCTACCGCATAAGCGAAAACGATAAGCTATAGTAAATAGTTTTTTTATTAAGCTATTACACCAAGAAGACTTCTCATCCCATTGTTAATTTTGAAGCTCGTTTTTCGTGTCTAGTTCATGTACGGTGACACTGGGCGCTAGTGTCGACGAAATTGAGTTTTTATTTTTTTAGGGTTAGTTTCTTGATTTGTGCTTTACTGTTTGGTCATATAACTAGTGGACAATTTATTGTTTATGATTAGATCGTTTGATTTGGAAACGAGGTTTTAAATGACTGAAATAGCAAGAGACAAATAGTAAACAAAACACGATCTCTACAGTGCACCGGACAGAACTAACATTAATTTTCTTCAGCTGTCCCATAAGGATGAGAACCTTCATTATAACAGTTGCCATACACATGATAATTTTAAAACAATTACAACAACGAGTGAATAATTTCAAAGCAGCCCAAGAAATACATTAGGCTTATAAGGAAATAAAAGAACCCACGGCGCTATGACAGCAATTTAGCTACTTGCAGGTAAGGCAGGTGGTATCGGGCGCCTGGCAGCCTGGCAGGTGGTATTGTAACATGGAACTGTGAAACATCGGCAGAGCATATTAACTGTGTAAGTATTGTATTATATAGTACATTAGCCTATAGCAAATGTTGAGGTAGTTCTGAGTCTGGTTTTGGCTATTAAGTATTTTTTAATTCCCTGAAAAACAGATTAAAATATTAATGTTGGTTTCAGTTAGATTTCAATAGGGGAGTATGCTTGGTAAAACCCACGGCTAATGAAAAAGAGGTTGCCTAACGCTCTTATTACGTCACCCACCCAGACGGTACTGCTTTTAATTCAAACAGCTGACACCTGTCAAATGTTGTTATTATTGTTTGTGTTGTGCAAGTTCTGTGCGTTGTAAACTTTTGTTGTTTAATTTGATACTTTTAGTCAAATAAAGTGATTCTCGTGGGTGATGTTTTAACACAGTGCGTATCAATAGACAGATAAAACTCGCGAGTTGCTCGTGGTGACAGGTTTAAACTCTTTGATCAAAGATACCCTTGGACGAAGAACTATGTAAACAATCGCCCACTGTTGCAAACGAGTAAGTAAATAACTTAATCCTTGTAATTCGGTTATTAGTTTGAAACAGTTTACTGTTGATTACAAACGATTGTTTAGTTCGATATATCCATCGATATTTTCATTCGGTTGTTTTTGACACCAGATACGGAAGTCAAAGAGATTTTAAAACTGAACTGTTCAATAGTCCTAGAGATGAGGGATCCTTAGCTAGGTGTATTGTGTAATGTATGTCTAGTCCATCTGTTGACATTTTTCAGTACTGTATAGCCTTGGGTAAGACCATAGACAAAAAGAATGAAATATATACTGTCAGCCGTGCTGCGGTTACCATGGTTACAATAGGTTCCGGCGCACACCGCTGTTGTTTACGTAGCGCGTACGCTGTAACTAACGTGGCGCTCCCAGTGGTGTGCGCCAGAACCTATGGTAAACGCAGCACAGCTGACGGTCTATATTTAATTCTTTTTGTCTATGGTAAGACCAAGGCCATGACCAATTTACTTTTACGATGACCCTAGCAGTCAACAAATTCGTTCACATACCATTTGATAACTAGTATCAAAATAGTGTTTTGAGTAAAAGTATTTTGAGTAATTTCGGTCCAATTTTGTTGAATTTGTAGGGCTGGATAAACTTGAATGCGTTTGCGAACCAGAACTAGAAAGAATGGGAACAACATTTGGGTGGGTTTTGAAGTTTTTCAAAAATTTGCGTTTCAAATTTATATTTTAAACATGAAATGTCCGATTTTAATTGCAACCATCGCGTAGAGCTAAATCACGATTTTTGTACATTGAAGCGTTTTTGCACAATCAAAATGCTACGAAGAAAAAAAATTTCCAATGTAATTGTTAAATGGAGAAAAGGTAGGCCAGAACCAGAACAGGTTTTTTAAGATCCATTTCTGTTCTTTACGGGTTTTTATGGGAAAATAACATGTACAAGTTACCTACAGTACTTTTTGAACCGTAATTTTTACAGCAATGAGGGTTGCACTATGAGAATTAATAAGAATTAAAAGGACCTCACATAGGTACTAATTTCAATCAAAACCAACTTTTTCCCGAAAATCTGACACTGAATTTTTTCTTAATTTGTGTGTACTTA